GGGACCTTTCTCCTTTACACGTGTTTCATACATTACACACCATAATCTTAACGAGGAATAATTATGAAAACAGATGCATGTTATGTATGAGTAAATAATGCAGTCTATGTTGTAAAATGAGCCGCAAGTAAAATACTTATATCGGTGACAAAATACATACAAAAATAAAACCAACTCTAAAGAGCAGATTCCTTCTTGCGAAGCGATCAGTCGCACTTGTATGGTGGTGAATTCCACCATATTCTGCGTGCCCTGAAGAGATCTTAGAATAAATGTGATACACCTTCACTGCAGTTCATTTATAAGGCCCCTAAAAATTGCAGTTGGGGAATGTAACTTCACACTTCAATGACCAATCAATCCTGGACAGACAGTGGACTCCTATTATACCCTTTCAGGAGACAACAGACTTACAAAAACTCAGCTGTCATAAGGAATTACCATTACCTACAACAAGTTTGACTCCCTCTGCAACCACCCCCTTTATCAGCAAACCTCCAACAACTGTACCCACTTCCGGAACGCGGAATGTCTCGTCTATTTGAAATTCACATAATTCCTGCAAACAAAACATGAAACTGCTTTCAGACCACAAATTAAAAGAAAAGAAAAAAGTATATGTTGAGGATTATACTTCACACAATTCTGCTTTGGCACTAAATGGAATAGCCTCAAGTTTCAAACCATACATTCAATAAAGATGGCTGCCTTCTGAGGCGTTGCACTGTGTAGGTGCTTACCGCTGCCACCGCCACCTACACTTCAAAACTAGAGCCTGAAACCTCACAATGTCACTTTTTCTTTCCTTTCCTATTTCTTCTTAAGATGGTTCCAATTAATCTTTGTCTAGCTTTAACTGGCTGGTGGCATCGTGATGAACCTTCAGGCTCCATAAAGTGTGTTATATTCAAAGAATACTCTGCACTGCAGAGTAAGTAAACAAGTTTGACTGATTAGTCGTCCAGAGACCGCGGCTGGCTCTTTCCAAGGGACCAAACTGAGTAAGAGTCCCCCATATATGCACCTGGTAACACATCAAGCTTTCCAAAAAATATTTTTTGGAATACTGCATGATGGACAAAGGCCGGAATCCCAATAAAACAAACTGTAATATACCATCATCAGAACCATTTAGAAATGTCAGGAAGCATTAGTGACACGCACTGCAAAAAAGAGAACATACGTACCTGTTCTAAACGCTCCTTCTCTTTGACACTAATTCCGGGCGGTAGTACATGCAGAAACTTTGTCAGCAGCTCTAGGCCGTCGCCCGTCACATTCGACACGCAGAATATTGGCACGATGTTCTCTGCCAGCTGATTGGAACCTGCTGTAATAACATCATCTTCATTTGTCACCACAAGTGGAACCTTAACAGATAGAAACAGGCAAACAAAACACAGCCTAATACATGAATACCATTCTCTACGAAAATAAAATCACTTTAAAATAAGCGGATATACAAGAAACCAGAGAGAATAGGCTAATCAGAACAATATTCAAGACATTACTTTGACAAGTTCCAGCACGTTAGATAACAAAGGAAATCTATCAATATCACACACGCACACTGCATATTTGTGGAAGAATCCAATACTTCCATGACAGTCTGACACTGGACACTCTTCTGACCCACGTAAATTCAGTTCACATTGTCACACTCTTGTTTCTTATTACGATCTTCTCAAATATGTCCGCCTTTTCCAAGAGGTCTCTTTCCTCAAGGTGTCCTGACTGACATCTCTTAAGCATTTTTCAACTCCATCCATTTCATCCCTAATACTGGACAAAGGGTACAAAATAAAAATCTTGTGTCCATTTTCCAGTGATTAGGTCATTCCCAACAATCCACTGAGGTAACACACCAATGAAATAATTTGGTTTGTAAGATTGCTAACGTAATTCTTGTACATTAAAAAACAAAATTAAGCTAGTAGGAGAATACTTAAAATTATTTGTTGTCAGGACTTTTTCCGTCGTCTGTTTTTAAAATTCATGACGTTTCGGAGGCTGGTTCTGTCTCTGTCTTCAGGTGAAGATGGAGACAGAACCAGGCTCCGAAACGTCATGAATTTTAAAAGCAGACGACGGAAAAAGTCCTGACAACAAATAATTTTAAGTGTAAACGACAGTCATCAAAACCCTTTAAAATTGAATTAGTAGGAGAAAGCAAAGTACGATTATTTTAGCGGTATGTTATCGGACTTCCCTGCCTTCAATGGCCTCGACCGACTCGGGATAAGTTCGGAAAACATGGATTCCTATTCGAAAGTTATTCTCTCCGAGTCCCTCTACACGCTCCTTCAGTTTGGCCCTCCTTTTGAATCAACCTGTATATCTTTCTCCAAATCAACCTGTAGCAGGTGGCACAACTGTTCACATTTACTGGCCTGCATTACCTTGCGACAACCCGCAGACTTCAGCATGGCCTCCAGGCTGAGCAATGTGTCCGCAGGCGTCGTTACATCTGTTTTGGTGATGGTTATGAAGAATGGCACATCAAGGGCAGTAGCCAAGGCAAGGTGCTCCTGTGTCATGCCAACAATCCCAGCACTCCCACTGACAACCAGCATCACGTGGTGTGGCGAATAACCAGTCAGCCCCAGCACCGTCGTTCTCAGGTACTTGCGATGACCGGCCAGATCGATGAATGTGACCAGTTTTGTAGAATTTTCACAGATCTCTTCTGCTGTTGTGAATTCACTATAGTTAACCAGATGGCCCTGTACATAAACAAGCGAAAGTTAAGACTGTTTACAAATCTTCTACAGTGGCCATCCGCTGCAATTCAACTGGAAAAAGAGCACTTATGTAGTGGAAACTGCTTACTAAAACAAATCTGAAGTCACTAAGAATTTCCTCCTTCAGCAACAAAACTAAAATATTAATTTCAAACAGATACATAATATTATCATCCTAAACTGACGATATTCAGAAAATTGGTAACTTCTTATAGTTCTTTTGTTTGCTTTTTAACACACCTGACATTAATTAACCTTTATGTGATGATGATAAGTAAACAACTGATGTTTAACCAGTTGAACTCAATACCTCTTATTTACATCATTTTAGATGATAATACCATACACTTTTATGACTGAAACAGGAAACTTCGAAGAAGAAGTTCACATTAGTGTCACTAAATGGTGGAACACTCTCGATTGTCAACAAAATACACAGATTCCAAAAAATGGTTACTTCTAGCAAACAACAAACACTCTTCAAAAAACAGATCCAAATTAAAATCTTTTGCCACATTTCATTTTACTACGATGAATGTAAGCGATACTTTAATAAGTGTCCAACCTATACATACAAATTCCAAAAGAAAGTACTTTCTTATTTACAAGGTAATAGTACCACTCGCCAGTAATTCCGTCTTGTGACCTGGTAGTCATCTTTCACCAGAGATCCAAGCTTCAAAGCCCAATGAAGACAGTAATAATCTTTTCTCTCGTTAAGCTCAACCCTCGCCTCTGACAAAGTCACGAGAACCCTTAAGCAGTTCAGAATAAATGTTGTGCCTTGTAACCAGTAATTTCTGTCCCTTCAAAAATGAGGAACACATTATAGCAACGACTGACCCGTGTATCAAATCCCAGAATTTCATGAGAGATTGACGAGGTTCTTCCAGACTGCACTTCATGGAGGTGCCTGAACATGTTGAGACGGGCTCGACCTCGCCCATTGTCCAGTTGCCCCTGTGTCAACACCCCCAGCAACGTAGACTTGCCAGCGTCCGCACTCCCCATCACTGCCACACGCACCTCTATGTTGTGCTGGTCATCTGGTACCTACAGCAAGCAACAACTTGAACACTGGTTCAAAACAGCATCGACAGATAAAACAAACGTGAAGAAGGAAAAACAACTGTCATCAATCAAGTACTAAATGCAGCATCTGTAACATCTTCTTTCTCTCCTGCCAACTTTTTTTCGCTTTCCCAATATTTCATCATTTTCTTGTAATGACACCTACCACATTCGCACGAATTACTCCAGGTAAATAAAAGAGACCCAGTCTAATGATGTTTATGAAATTCCTTACCTTCCTAACCAAAACCTCTGCCACCTTTCTGCCACCAACATTATCACCATCCACAAGCCGCTCTCTGAGGATTGTGGTTGTGGCACCCAGCTTATATGCCATCTGTTGGAGTGTTTGCAAGCTTGCAGTCATCTCATACTCTGCTAGTCCCGTGAGTACACCACTGTCTTCAACCCCAATTTCGTAGATTGCTTCCCCCTGTCCTTCGCGGAGCCGCCATTTCATCTATGCAAATCAACCACACTCACAAAATCAAAGTACTGTGAGAGGATCACAATCATCGGCATAATGGAGCTAAGCAAAGAAAGAAAAATCAAAGTCTCTCTTTCACTGCGCGAATGCAAACACACAGTTCCTGCTGCTTTTAAGAACAGAACACACAAAGCTAATAAGCTACAACAAAATTTATAGCAAATGCAAGTGATCGAGTAAGACGATTTGTATTAGGTAATCCCTTGCAAATATAAACCCCCCTGAAATATCTGTCCCATTTCACGTGCGCACACACGGATATCCACTCGTTCAAAACCAAGTCTGCGCAACATCAATATGATGCACGTGTCACCCTCCTAAACTATGTACCTGCGTAACCAGGTGTTCAAATCGCTGCTTTGAGGGGTTGACCAGTTTCAGCTTATACTCAACATTCCCAACTTGAGGCTCTGGAGGCAGCTGATCTGTGATGTCACCATGCACATCACAAGTTTCATCCGGAGGACAGGGGTCAAACAGTTGAAGAAAGTCCATCTAATCCTGCAAAACATGTTTCTTGTAATTAAACTAAAGTAAAGTTCGCAGATATCATGAAAATTATCTGCTTTTAAACGTAAATACCGCTAGTAACAAATACCAATACGCATACATCTGGGAACCAAGACTGCGATCAATTAACACACTTCTCTCTCAATAAAACATGATGCAAAACAAAGTCATCATTTCTTTTGTTAGCGTGTATCCCCAAGTGCACAAAATTAGCGCACGATGGTGAAGTCACGTCTGTCCAGTCACGAGTTCCGTCTGTAAAATTACTGAAAGCATTCCATCCACTGACATAGAAAATGTTCTAAAAACTGGTTAACTGGTTCCGAAGTTCAGAGGGGACACACGAACACAAAAATAGCACTGTCATGTAACAAGCCTTTCCTTACAAAAAGGAAATAGGCTAACAAAGTTTTTTTATTTTCTGAGGAATCTTGTAACACATCTGACAATGTACAAAACTTCAAAGTTACAAATGAAAGACCTGAAATGGATAAGTACTGCAATTTAATAAGCAACTATATATTAAAGGGTTTTTGAAATATCAGAAAAAGAACTGACCCCTTGCCCTTCTGGCAGTATGGCATTCTACTCGTTAGATCTTTCGCTCTGAAAAAAAAATCAATGTCTTGCTTAAAAAATTCAGAAGTATAAAGAAATCTCCTGATTCCTCCTTACCTTTATCACACCATTAATATGAAAACAGTTCTTTCCTTTGCTTTGGCCTATCACACTAGAAAGTATCATGGAATTTTACACAACCGATCTTTCAGCCAACATTTGACAAATCTCCTCACTTCCACAAAAATTACATACTATTTGAAACAGCAGAAGACACAGAAGAGTCACAGTTACTTCCTTGCACTGTTCACCAACTGCAATAAGGCGGTGAAAGTTGAGTCAGCTGGTAGTTCTCTTAAATCTGTATCAGTGACCCACTTACTTACAATTAACTTTCTCCCGGGGAACAATCTATAATCCACAGCAGCGTAAATGCACGCAGGAACTACAAATGTTATAAAAAAAGAAAACTATTGTGTAACACGCTGCACAGAAAAGTGTGATGAAACAGTATGCAAGAGAATGGAGCCAGACATCACTGATGATGTAATAAGTGAATGCAGAACACAAGCAGGGCATTTCATATGTTGCATGATGTAGGGAGTTGCAAAAATTAGATTCACAAATTTTAAGGACATTCAAAAACACACTAGCAGACAAACCAACAAACAATCAAGGAATCTATTATGAGTGAAGTCACACACCTTCCTATTTCTCTCACTGTGGCAACTGGACAAACGTGGACTGCAATGCAAAACCCCGGCCATCAAGCATTAAACTTACCTTATATTAGAAGCAAATATTTTGTGAAAAATGCTAGTATATAAAATCAATTTTGATAAAATTAAACAGAAAAGGTGGCCACTTTGTCAAGCTCTTTTTGACTTACACTTCAAAACAAACATCAGTTGTGGTGAGTGCCACATCTTCTGGCAACGGGAGCTCCCAACCTTGCTCTGACACTGAAATTTCATTCTATAAATATGCACCAACTGCTGTGCAATGGTACAGTACCATTCAAAAACACAGTACAAGCAGATATCTGCTTCAAAAAGATACCTTCACCTTCCCAAGTCAGATTGCAGGCTGCATACTGTCTCACATTTTCTTTCTGTACACGCAACGAACCGCAACCTAGAAAAGTTTTTAAATGCAGCAAACAGTAACAAATAACTCCAATACAAACTGTAAAATATTCATAGTATGAATATACGTGACAAGAAATTAACTTGAGCCAGTTTTCAAAAAATTCTCAGAGGGACTAGAGGAAATCTTGACAATAAAGTTACCTTCATGTACTGAGTTTCAGTACATCAAACTTATTGACAACAGATTATCCTTTGTTCCAAGATCTGAAACACATATTTTCCCTGCATTTATAATTACCCTTTTCCTCTGCTTTAATTACTATGAATAATTCTGCCCAGCATAAATAATAACTAATGTACATATGCACCAGAAATATAGTTTCTTGATCAATGACATGGGAAAGAAACATCAAGACAGAACTGGTTCAGGATCAGGCTTAGGATTAGTAGTGGTGAACCTCTGCATTCTATTATAAGGGAGCTGCTTAATCAAGTAAATTATTAACATACCATTCTGGTTCATTTACTTGTGTCTATATGTACACTCCATTACACACATACAAACTGACAACTTGCTTTGTAAAACTGTTGGTTACAGCGTAAATTCCGTCATACAGTCCACAGCCAACCAGTTGCCTACTTTTGCAACACACAAAAATTGTATACAAATGGGTAAATCAGTCACCACAAGGTCAACACATCACAGTCAGCACCCCACTCTACAATGGGAACATCATGCCTGCTTACAAGCATAAAACAAATACTCCTTCACTAACTAGAAAATTCATAGGAAATTATGAAACAATTACGACAATGAGAAAGTAAAACTTTTTAAAACACTGTGATAAGTTTGATAACACTGCAAAATCTGGAGACCTGTATAGAAATACCAACAAAATACACAAGTATATTACATATCTGAAAATCCCCTCTGCAAACAAAATCTTGTCACCCAGCAAGACTAATTTTTATCTGACACAAAATTGCCCTCATAACTGGTTACTGCAACGTTCATATAAGTATGCACTGTTTGTGTAACCTCACATCTTAACTGAGAATGACTACTACATGAATGTGCTGAAAAAGTACAGATTTAAATAACTGGAACAGAGGCAGCATCTCCAAATAAAAAAAAAATATATTTTACTAACACAGTGAATCTGAAGACAGAAAGAAAATCATTATGGCCCTAATGGGGAGAGCTAAGAAGTTGCAAATATCTGCTGCAAGATTCCTAACCAACTTATGGTAACAACTTACTTCTATACAAGTGAGAAAGGTATCAAAGGCTTAAAAAGAACAACGTAAATTGCAGCCTTCTGCACAGAGGCACACACAACTATTGACACTAAAGATTAAGACAAAAGAACATATGTTTGACAAGCTGTTTTACGTTAACCTTGACTACGCGCCTCTGGAAGCCGATCAGTGACACGAAGTAACCTTCAAATTAAAGTTTGCAAAACAAATTTTCCGTATATAACATTAATTTGCACAAAGCTACGGCGTAAAAACCTGCGGCAACATATCAGCCTAAAAATAAAATGCGCTGTCATTTTGATTAGTCGTAATGAATATAAAGAGTGATGATCCATCATTGTACTGCTTCAGTAATGTAATATAGCAAACCCCATATTATTTTTTCATTATAAATACTTGTATTCGTTCATAAAAGAAAGGAATATTCGGCTTGAACAACCACACGCACATATAAGCTTATACCTTCAGAAGTTGTTACTGTAATAATGGCTTACCTTGCATCAACGATAACAAAACAGAATAGCAAAACTCACGTAAAATCAATTTTCATTTTTGTGCCACCGCATTTCGGCCGTTATATTACCAGTGTTTTCTACACTGCACATATTGTTTCCAAATATACTTACCCAAATAAGCTATTAACGAAATTTAGAAAACAGAATTACTTTCAACACAACCATTTCAACAGTCTCAAACGCATTACCAATGGTAACCAACAAATTATTCTCGCGAATTGAAAGAACGTTACGTCAAATCACTCGCTCTTTAGTATATATTAAAAAGACAAGCATGTTATGTTATTAGCTGTAAGTGCAGAAAAATTTAATTTGGCTGTACAAGGCACCTACTTAAGAACAACATCTTCACAGCCGCGAGATCAAATCTCACACAAAAACTTTTAGTATATTCATAACGTTGGCTCGCCTGATATTTTGAACTTGTTTCAAAGGTAACCACCCACACATTTATCTCCTAAGAACGATCCTGATTGTATTGGTAACATCCAAAAATTGGCCTTTACCAACTCTGCGTGAATGATGTCACAGCTTGCTTGATTAAAGCCAATACTCTCGCATTAAATTATGACAAAACAAATTTCGTGAAATTATGTACCTCCAACAAAACTTGTGTTAATCTAGGTATTGGACATGAACACAATACAATGGAAGTAAAAAAAGAATTAAATTTCTCGGCCTACAAATTGACAATAATTTAAATAGGAAAAACATATTCAATACATTATCCCTAAACTATGCTCTGCAAGCTTTGCTATGGGGACTGTCATAACATTCATGAAAGCCTCAAATCCTACTTCTAAAAATCTGAATCATATTATAAAGAAGTTTAAGCCAGCACTGAAAGAGTAGCTTCTGTCTCATTACTTCTATTCAAATCTTTGGAATGTAAACAAATTATATTCTATGCTGGTTTCATTAATAAAACAGGTGCCTGAAAGATGTAATTGCAAGGCTAACATTCATGCATTACAGGTGTGGGTATGCATCTTCAACACCGTAAGGATGATTTGGAGTGACTGCATTGTATTCATATTTATAGAGAAAATACACATAGAATATTTAATAATAAATTCAATAAATTATTACAATAAAAATATAAATAAAAATGCTAAACATCCTAATAACAATTAAGGTTTTCTATACCAATAAATATTTTCAATAAAAGAAATCAGTATGTCTGAAATGAATAAAGTCTAGGTGTCTTAGCTTGCAGTCAGGATCTTACAACCTTGGACACTTACAAATAAATTTTAATATTCTGTTAGTAGGAAGTAACATCAATATATGTGATACCACATATCAAGATATCAGGTTTTACTAATGCTATGCCAGATATGGTTCAGATAATTCTCTGACTGATGCCTGAGTTATTTCCCAACTCATACTTTACTGAATTCAGTATCTTTTCATATGACATCCCAACTACAGCAAACTGACATACCCAACTGATAACACTTTACAACACTGATAAGTCAAAAAAGCACTGCCAACTATTCACTGTCATAGATCAAACATTGACTTAAATCTGTTGCATACTCATTACAAACACACTGCACCTTCAACTGTCATTTATACTCTTCAACAGATATTGAGCTATAATGAACATGTAGCATGCATAGCGATGATCAGGCAAAGCCAAATTTTGTCAGAACGCCTGAAGGGAAGAGATCACTTTGGAGACATAGGAGTAGATTTGGGGAAGGGGACGGGTGGGATAAAAACCTACATTTAAATTTCATTCTATCTTCCGCAGCACAGTTCTTCTTACTAAATGCCAAAAAAACAATTTTTACAAGCAGAAGAATTACTTGAGTATGGGATGTTCTTAGAACTTAAAAGTCAAAACAGTTTATTACTAACAAGGTGATTAGGAAGTGGTGCTTAAATCAATGCTGGAAAAAGATCCATTTAACGTACATGCAACGAAATAGCCAGAGTCTATCTTCAAACTATAGGAAATATCACAGACTAGTCATTATAGTGTTGTAATTTTCTGATTGCCTGCAGTAGCATACAGAAGCTCACCACATATTCAATCATAAAACATTAAGTAAGTCTTGCATATATATTTCTCTGTGAATTATCCCAAAATGTAGATGAAAGGACAATCAGTACTAAAACTGATTACTTTCATTATAGTTTGTAGTTACATCACCCTATTCGCTATTTAATTGACTGCAGAATGTAAGATACCTACATTAACACTGAAAAGAAACTAAATTCAACAGGTGGTAAACAAAGGTCTTAGATTATTCATAAAATATTACCACAAATATGGTACACGAAATTTCTAAACAGCAAGAAGAGTATCTTGTGAAATGTTCAAGAAGGAATTAAGGTAAAACTGACCCTTGAAATTCACAACTACTTTCTGACTTCAATTACCTCAGCAACTTTATATCACAAAACTATTTAAATCCTATAAGTCCTCACATATTCTACAAAAACCACGAATTACCGTTTAATAGTTTTGACACTGTTAGTTTCATAATAAGTATGCAACAAGTGTAATCATGCAATATTGTTATATAATTTAATAAACAATTAATTCATATCACATTATTCACATATTCCATAAATTTACTCCATAAATCAAAATTATATAGAGTGATTTGAGTTGTGTCTACTGAATATAGTGAATAAATAAATATATGTTAATTCGTTGGTATAACAGAATGTAGTTTGAAGAGAAATTGTACTTTTCAATTAGGCCTAAGATCTAGTCTAATATAACCACTTGTGGTGTTGTCTGAACAGAATACATGGCACAAAGAAATCATTGCGTACATTATGCAGTGTGGCTCGGAGTGTAGCAACTGAGCTTGCTTTTCAACTCCATAAAAGACCTCTTAACACATGACAAAGTAAAATGCTCTGTTCTGTCTTCAACTGAAATCTCAGATTTACATAAACTTGTTCAGCACATATCATATCACAGCATCCATACACAAAAGCTGAGAAAATGCCTGTTCTTCTTCTATGAGTAATCTGTACTGAAATAATGAAACTGCTTAGTTATATGATAATCTTGCATTGAACAATTTTCTACTATTTACTGGTGTAGCACCACATAATGATTGTTTTATAAATTAAATGGTCGGCAAACAATGAAACAGTCGTGGACACAGATGCCTCATGCCAGCTGTGGTCACGTAATAACCTGATCAGTTGATAAAATAACACACAAAGTTGCAATAACATTATGACACCAGCAGTAACGATCACAGCCCACAGATCATAACAACATGCAGTGTCCAGTCCAAAAAGAAGTGTTATTGCAGTTCCTGATATTCGCTTGAAACGTCCCCCATAAATCGCTACACATTCAGCTAATTTGAACGACCAGCATGAACATGACTGAACACAACAGCGTCAAACTGATTTATGGGAGTATTAGGTTACACCAGAATTTCTCAAACCTCTGACTGAAACCCACAAGGATGATAAAATAAGTTCATGTTGTAAAATTATAAGAAAAATGTTATTTCTGGCTGTAAAATAATGCCTCTCCAAGGCATATCATTCTTCCAAGTCTTCTGTTAGGTAACTTAAATCACCTGATGAACACATACACACAACCCAGTTATACAATTAAGGTTCTTTCAGAAGGTTCTGAAGGACCATTACATGAATCCTGCACATTTATTAAAAATAGGCTCCAGTTTTTTACAATCTTTGTATATGTGATTAGACAAACCAATGTCTTTTATTACCACTGTAACCTATTAAAGGTTACAAAATGTAGACAATACACAAAATAAAATGTATAAAACATAAATACAAAATGTGTAACGTCTACAACAAATTTGTCTTTAAAACTGAAACATACAATTATACAAAGAGGGGAGGAGGGATATGTAGCTTCTTAATGTGATGAATACACCCAAATTCAGTGTGAGTTTTAAAAATATATGCCTCACAATGAAACTTTTCTCTGTGTTTCCTGTAATGGTAATTGCCATTTGTCTCAGTTGCTGGTATTATTTAAATAAAATTTACTTTCAGGCAGGGAGTCCTGAGGAGAAAACAAATGAGACCAACAGAACCACACTAGAACAAAGTATGTGCTATCTGTTTGACCACACAACATCCACATGTTCAATACACCCATACTTACTACCTTCATTTGTTTTGACCATCATGGTAAAATGATTGTCATTATTTGGGTTAATACAAAGATCCTGTGGACAAATTTTAGATCACGTGATAAAGTGCCTCAATGTCTGAGCATAATAATCCACTAACATACTTTGACTGCTGCTCCATGCCCACCCATTCTCCGCTGTGAAATGTCAGGATGAAAGCCAAAATTATTCATTTATTTGATAACATGCGGGCACTGAGTAGGCAGAATCAAGTAGTGTGTTAACATTGGTTGGAAGAACTGCTCATTTAACCTGTAAATCCCATATTTACTTTCACATAAATTCTATACAGGCAATGGAATTTAGACAGGAA